TACACCCTGCAGCATTTGCTGAGAATGTAGAGGTGAAGGCTACACTTGACATGTCCTGAGGGCCCAGGGGGGCCAACAGCTCGTGATGTCTGTGTGAAGTAGGCACCACGGCACCATGCTGGCTCTTAACCATGATCCTGCTTTGTTTTCTGAAGTAGAGGAAGGAACAGCCAAACCAACAAAGATGCTCTTGATTCCAAATAGCATTGTTTGGTAGTCCAACGTCGCTGAGAAGTAGGTACGGATCTGTGTGCTTTAGATGCACAAGATAAGTGTGGTGGGTGTCACAGCAAGAATAGTAATTATGTCATCCGTCTTGTCATGGAATGTGACTATAGTAATTGCAACATTCTCTCCCATCATTGAAGCTTGTAATTATAGTGCGACTAACAGGATTATGTGCTAACTTAGGCTGTTTTAATCACATCTTTTACTCTGAAACGCAATGGAAAAATTCCACAGTTGTTCCTAGGCTACTGGTTCTTTTCAACATCTGCTGTCCCGTGACTCTAACAGTGTGATCCTGAGGCAGGAGACGAGATGCTCAGGGCATTTCATCAGAACAGACTTGAGATGTAGCTGGCTTGAGACTTGATGAGAAAATATCAGTAGTGAGGGTGTTTCCAGTTTTCTACCAGAGTATAAATTTTTGTCTCCAAAAGCAAACTATTTTATGTTTTTTTGAGGTGGCAGATGTTTTGTGAAATCTGGTGACTTCTGCAACCCATATTTTATAAAATCTCCAACCACAAAAATCAATCTAGGAAGGAAAAAAATCAGTCTAGGGCTCATTAAGAAAATCCTCACACCAGCCTAGGGAACACCTTTAGAGTAAACCCCTGATGTCACACAGTGGGTCACTTTTCACATGTAAGGCACACAAAGACACATGAAGAAGGTCATTGCTTATATTTATATCTGCTGATCCCAATACAATAAATGCTAACATTTACCCACAACACTTTGGCTATACAAGAATAAAGGGGCTTTGAACTCTGTGAAAAAGAAGTCTGCATAAGGCAGAAGACTCTTATTTTTTGGTAAGATGACTACACTCCATTAGGCACAGTAGTGTATATGTAGGCCATTATTTTTGGGGTAAATGTCCCAGTCTCTTTTCTGCAGCTGTGGCAAGATCCCACAGACTTGGTAGTTTATAAGAAAAATTTATTCCTCACCATTCTGGAGGCTGGAAGATCTACCTAGCAGGGCCTCTAGACTGCATCATAACATAGCAGAAAGACAATCATGAATCATGGGTGGACAAAAGAACAAAATCAGACATTCTTCCTTTTCTCAGGAGCCCACTCTAAGATAACTAACCTGTTCCTGCCGTCATGTCCTTGACCTTTTCACGAGCTGGAAGCCCACATGGCCTATCTACCTCTTAAGGATGGTTAGGGAATTGATCATGTTAAAGTATGCTGTGACGCTGCCTCACAGGCTGCATTCTCCTGGTACATCTTGGCTCCTAAAATGACCTCATGCCCTTATCTCTGGTTTCCCTTCCCACCAAGGCCACAGTGGTCCAGGAAAGTTAAAACCTGTGTCTGCAGGACTGGACCCATGAAAGCAATCTGGCCTGTGATAGGTTAAAAGTAACTCACTCCTCATAAATAAGCAATAGCCCACCCCAAAACTGATAAAAGGACCTTCCTTTCTTTGTTCTCTCTCTCCTTCTGCTTCTTCTTCCTCCTCTCTCTCTCTCTCTCTCTCTCTCTCTCTGCCTTCCTGCCTCCTGCTCGCCTCCCTACAATAAAAATCTCCTGCCGGATCTCTCGGTGCGTGAGTGGCCTAATTGGGAAGGGGCACCCGAAAGGGCACGCGAACCCCCTTTCAAGGATCCCACTTGTAAATCCTGTTACAATGGCAGTTAAATGTCACTGTCTTCTTTGGAGGGACATTCAAACTGTAGCGGTTCTGTTTCAGCAATTCTGAGTGCACCTAGAAGATTAATATACCATGGATGCAACCCAGGTCTCCACATTTGATCTCAGCCAGGCCCTTGCTACTCTGTCCCAGACTTTTCTGTGCATTCATTCCTGTGGGTCAGGTGTGCACACAGGGACACAGAACCCAGGGGAGTTTAGTGACAAACAAGCAAATGCAGCTGTGACCTGAAATAGCAACAGAAGGAGGCTATCTAGGAACAGCTTGTTTTCTTGAAAGGAAAATTGTGGCATCAAGTACAGTATCTCCTTTGGGAGGCAACAGGAAAATTCCTAGCAGAGGTCTGCTTAGAGCAGGCAGGTCGAGACGTTCACAGCACTGTTGCCGGTGTGTTGCACACTGGGCTGGAAGGAAGAGGACACACTGGTGGGAGAGGGACTGGGGCCCCACCGAGTTCCCCTCTCCTGGACTGTCCCCCAAAGCCCAGCATCTTTGAGACCCCTCCTATGCATGGTTGTGATATACTGGTCTACAGTGTAGCAGCCCAGGGAGACAACCTTTCAAGGTTGGTCTCAGAATTACACTGGCCTCCTCCACCCACAATGGATGGTGCTAATCATGTGTACTATTGAGCTGACCAAGAGGAAGCTGCTATGAAGAGTGATCATTCAGCAGGCTGCCTTCTGAGCGCAGCAGGTAACGCAGCAGGGCTGGGTCCCTATCTCTGCATCAAGGACAGTCTACCACATGCGGATTGTAATGGTGGCTTCCTTATTTCTGTCTTCTCAATTTGTTCTAGAAGGCAGAAATTTTGCCTTGCCTCCTCTCAGTCAACCACAAGGTAAGTACTCAGTGCACACTGCTGAATGAGATAAAGCCGTTGATAGAGGATTCAGAATCAGCTGGAGCATGGCCCAAAGACGAAACGGATGGGAAAATGGAAAGTAGGACACTGGATCAGCGGTTGTGGTTGGTAGTGAGCTGAAGTGTCTTAAATGAGCACCTCGTAGGAGGCCCCAGGGACCGAGGCCCAGCAGTCCAGGAGGAAAGGTTGCCTCCATCACTGCAGCTCTGCACCGGGGCCTGGAAGTGGTGCAGTCACTGCCAGAAAGGTCACCGGATAGGTTCAGCGGCCACGCTGCCTTGGTGGCCCTGGGGAGAGCCAGCAGGTTCTGCACCTCTAGGCCTGGTGGGCAGCCTGGAGCGGGGAGGGAGGTCAAGACTACGACAGTCGGGGAGCACTGCGCCTTCTCAGAAGCGGCGAGTGGGGCGTCCCACGGCCATGTGCCGAACACGTGTGTCCGTCATAGCTCCGTGGCCTCAGTCACTTTCTCTGCTCCCATGTTCCATCCCTGTGGTGGTGTCCCAGGTCCCTGCAAGCTTAGTCCTTCCTTGGGCCTCTGCTCATCTGAGAAGTGCCGAAGTGTCTTGTCAACCACTGCAAACTTCAAATGCTTTCGTTCAACCTAACATTGTTTGGGATTTAAAATACTGACCATGATGCCATTAAAGGTAGAATCATAGATTATGTAAGTACAAACAAGCTTAGAGATATTTAACTCTCCTAAATGTTACTATTAAGAAAATAAAGTTCAGGAAGTTGATTTCCTTGCCCAAGGTAACACAGCTAGCTAGCTGAGGGGTGGAGGTGAAGCAAGAAGCCCGAAATTCATTGGTGCCCGTTTCTCCATTCCACACTCCCGACAAGTATAGACTTAGTCAAGATTTGTACTGAATATTCACTGAACTTCTAGTTGGTTTATCTGAGGAAGAAAATTCATTCCATGATTCTGCTGGAATGATTTCTAGGTTTTGTGAATGGTTCTGGGCTGGGAATCAGAAAAATCTCGGTAAAATATTGGAGGATGAGCCAATTAAAAAACCCAGAAGGGAATATGTGTGGCTTGCCTGGCTGGTGGCCTGGAAACATTTTTGCATACACTCCTGGAGTGACTCTGTCTTTCTGGAGTAGAGGAAGCCACTGATGCCAGAGCACTGCACAGTCTGCTGTGAATCCCCCTGCAGGACTCCTGGCAGGCGGCTGAGCTAACACACAGGGCTTTCATCCACACCTGGAGGGCAGTGAGTGAGTAGATCCAGCTGGCAACTTTTCCCCCTCAGTGAGTGCATCTCTGGGCTGCCACCTCCCACCCAGGTCTTCCTCTGGACTGGTGCTGGGGACGGTTTGATGCACCGTTGTCGTGTGTCATAAGTCTAGAAAGAAAACGGGCGGGGGCTCCTGGTCCAGAGCAGCTTGCTCTGCGGGAGTGGTCACCCCAAGTTAAAAGGTGTGTGCTTAATGTATGTAGTACACAGAGCAGCGGAAGAACAAATCGTGTCGTGGCAGGAAAATGGATGGACCTGGAGATCATCATGGTAAAGTGAAATAAGCCCGACTCAAAAAGACTTCTGCTCTTTGTGGAAGACTGTTAGAGGAAGGAGATCGGGGAGAGGGAGGAGGAAGGGCATCAGAGGGCGTGGGAGTACCAGGAGGGATCAAAGTACATTACAGGTGTGTGTAAATCTGCCAGAATAAAGCCCACTCGTTTGTGGAAATAGTATGTACTACTAAAAGCAGATAAGAAAAATATGTATATTCTTATAAAGCAGCTAAATGTATGTTGTATTGAGAGGGATAAAGTCTTTCTTGGTCATGAGAATGGACTGCAGTAAAACAACTAATAATAATAAATCACACGTGGACTGGGGATTTGGCTCAGTGGTTCTGTGACTGCCTTGCAAGCACAAGGGCCAGAGTTTGATCCCCGGTACCAATAAATATAATAATAATAATAATAATAATAAATCACACTGGTTTGGACAGGGACAGCATTCTGCATTATTGTTTCAGAAACAGCTTAGTAGAATCATTGTGAGGCCCCTAGCCTGATACCTTACCCCAGCTGGGAGTGTGACAAGGACGTCCGACCTTTGGGCCAGCTCCTCTGCCTCCTCTGGGTGACCTAATCTCCCAGGGCGTCGTGTTCCGAGTGTCACCTCCTGGGCTCGCACCAGCTCTCTGCAGCCTGGGCGTGGCTGTCACTGTCCTTCCGGCAGCGATGCGTCCATCTGTGAGCAGACCTCTAATGGTTCCTCTGCCGTGACCCTAGGTGTCCCAGGCAGCAGCAGACCTCCTGGCATACTGCGAAGCTCATGTGCGGGAGGACCCCCTCATCATCCCAGTGCCCGCGTCAGAGAATCCCTTCCGGGAGAAGAAGTTCTTCTGTACCATCCTCTGAGGCCTTCAGTGATGGACCACCTCCTTTTCTGTCTGTGGAACCCCCATAAAGATAGTGCATGCTCTTGGACTAGGGAGCCCCCATGGCAGGGCTCAGTTCAATTTTCATTGTATCTGTCATGGTATTCAATTGCTTTTTTTTTTTCTTTCATTTTTGTTATTTTCATTCATAGCAAAGAAAATAGACATTTTTGTGGCCAAATAACTATGTGCTATGTAAAAATAAGTATGGGTTTAAGAGTTTACAGTTTTTAAATGTCAATTCTCAAGTTTAAGTACATCAAGTTAATCAATGTTAGTGGATAATTTATTGAGATGAAAAATTGTGCCCAAGTAGTCACATTGACAGCAATTCTGCACCCAGTGACAGCTTGGGGACCAGCCAAAGTGTGTAGATAGGGTTCTGTCCAGCAGCTCTGAGAGTCCCCATGTGTGACACTTCCATCATCCTGTGAAAAAGGATTAGCCTGTAGGATGGGAACAACACAGGGCCCTCTTGGGCTCCAGAAGGGTGGCCCCTACCCTGTAGGAACAGGCTACAGTGTCACAGCTTGAGGCTCTGAGCCTTGATGCGTTAACCTGTTTAACCTTCCAACAATAAGTTCATGAGTGTAGACCTGATTTAGAGAGAGAGACTGAGGCATAGGGAGATGACATAGTTTGCCCAAGGTTGTGTAGAGAAAGGTTATATAGGAAAGCAGGACCTCAGGGCAGGCAGTCCGACTCCAGACCACTCCCTGGACTCCTGAGCTGGTGCACCTTGCAGGTAGCTGTCTGCAGGTAGTTAGAGCTGCCAACAGTCTTAACCACACAATCGGAAGCAAACGCATTTGTGACACTGGCCCACAGCACTTGTGCCACACTTTTCTACCTGCCTTTGCCAGGAGGGAGCTTGGTGAGCCCATTTGCTGACTGTCTCTAGATGCTCCGGGGAAAGGCTAGACATAGGCCTTCGCTCTTGCATTCCTAGGCATTTGCATTCCTGACTAGACCACACCCCCACGGCCCTGATGAAATCACAGGACAGAGGACTCTGTGTCTAAGTTTGTTTGGTTCCATCTGTTCAGAAACTGCCTCTCCCCTGGCTGTGGCAGAGGCTTGCTGTGTACTGCCGCACAAGCCACTGAGTGCCTGAGCTGTTCCAACTGCAAACTGGGGACAATGGTAATTACTCCTGCTTTTCTGTTTGAAGGAGATTGAGGGAAGCTCTGATTATCATTTAAAGCAAACACATGTACTAAATGCCAAGCTATAATATAGGGCAGAATATGTGACTTCAAAGATAGCAGTGGTTCACTTGGATGAAGGATATAAACTTGCCTACGAAGAGGCAAATATAATTTTCAGATCCGTTAATGACTTGCTGCTCTGGTAGACAGTTTTACGCATCACCATGCCTAGCTGCTTTTGCTGGAAGTATCCTCAGTTTTGTGCGCACTCACTGATGAGACCAGTGCAGTTAGGGAGCTGTGTGCTTGGACTGCAGCAGAACCCGGCACTGCATGCGCTGATACAACTTCTGGTCCTTCTGTGGCTTGGGTTGTGATCGGGATGTCTATACTGTGGTCTACATCGGTGCCATTAACCTGCTAGGACAAAGCCCAGTCCATAAAAGCACATCAGGCATCTGATAGAGGTCATTCCTAACCTCAGTTTCTACCTTAGGTCAAGTTTATGGGCATAGCCTGTGAGATGTGTTCCCTTTGTCAGTGAGGTTCAATGAAGTGAACCCCACTTGCATCACAGGATACTTGCATTGAACAGTTGTCATTTTGTGTTCTCATCTTGGTGTTCAGCATCTGCCCATGATGCCTCCAGGAAGATGTACTTGGACATAGTGCATTTAGTGCACCGTGTGCCTGCCTCCCATTCTGGAAGCTGAAGCAGGGAAGTGTCCCCGCCTCTCAGGCACCTGCTCTCCAGCTGCACTCCAGCAGCCACGTGGTCGGGGATCCGGGCAGGCTACTAGGACCTCCTGCCTGGTGCAGTGAGCCTAGAGCAGGTGACGCAGACATGAAGGATGCTGAAACCCATTTCAGGGGAGCCTCAGTGGTGGCACTGTCCAGCGAAGGAGCTGTCGAGAGCTGGTGGGCTGCAGGAATGGTGTGTCTGCTGGTAAGAGTGTCCAGGGATAGGATGGCAGAGCCCTTTGAAGGTCATTCTGAGTCCACTGTGCAGCTCCACTAAGCTGACTGCTTCCCCTCTCCCCATCTTCCTATAGCTCTCTTCCAGCTTCCTGTTCATTCTGTGGCCTCCGTGCCTCACCAAGTAAGTTCTCTATTCTTCCATAAAATAGCCTGAACTGAATATAGATACCATGTGACCTAACAGTGCCACCCTAGGTGCATACCCCACAGAAATGTACCTATGTATTCATCAAAAGAAATTTGCTAGAATTTTCATAGCTGCACTATTCATAATAACCCTAACCCAGAGAGTTCCCAAATGCCCACGGGGATAGCCAAGGAGGAACCCTATGCTGCCATGGCAATGAATAGTCTGTTCCTCCCCCACAATAGGGCCCCCCGTGAGATGAAGCAAGTAGGGACCCTAGTACTCCTAAGGGGATGGTAACCCAAGAGAAAGCCTGGCACGGTTTCCAGAATGTTCCATTCCTTGATCTGGTCCCCATCACCCTATGTGTTCAGATTGTGAAAATGCTCCCAGCTGTATACTTTCAGTTTGGGTGTTCGTCTGTATGTTGTACTTCAATAAAAAGTTGAATTTTGTGGCTACCAATCCTGGATCCTACTGTTACTTATTTTTTTCTTTTTTGGTGTTTTGTTTCACTTTTGGCTTTCAGATATCATCGACATGACATTGATCATAACAAACATTAGTGGGGCATTTGAAGAGTGTGCTTAGCAACACCCTGGATAATGAAGTACATAGAGTCCGCATTGTCCGAGTGAAGAGCAAGCAGGAGGGGCTCCTGTGGATGGGATAAGCGAGTGCCATGCTGTAGGGTAATGGGAGGGCACTGAGGAACACTGCTGAGACTTCACACTGGATGACAGGGATGCATCTTCTGTGCCTTCCTGCCTTCTGACTGTCACTGGAAAGGTCCAAGGAGGTCACCCACATCTCAACTCTCCCCATGGGAGTAGGTTCACTGACTGTTGTCACAGAAAGCATTTCAGGACACGTCAGGAAGAGACATAGCCAGGTTTATTGGGCAGAATCAGAGCAGTCCACACACGGGTGCACAGGCGCTCAAGGGTAAGGTGCAATATGGTCCGGAGCTGATGTATTTATGTGATCTCGGCGTGTCTTCAAGATGGATGATGCAGGATGTGTATTCCTCGAGTTATTTATCATCTACCTGGAGTCCGACAGGCCAGCTGTGAGTGGGCTGGGTTAAAATGGAACTGTTTGCATGTGTTTGAAGTCTAGAGGTGTGGTACCCAATTAACAAAGCTGCTTCCTTGAGGATGAAAGTCTATGGGATTTGTGGCTTTAGTGTTAGAAGAAAACCATGGGCCAAATCTTAAGACTATAGGAGAGCCAGGGATTTAGCTCAGTGGCACCACACCTGGCTGGCAAGTGCAAGGTCCTGAGTTTGATCCCTGTACCAGAAAAGAAAAGCAAAGACTGTAGGAATAAGGAGTCTGTAAGGAAAATAGGCCAAAGGGTGACATAGGCATTTCAATCTCGGGTGACTTTGTGTCTTGATGCTGCAGTTTTCTTAAAGGCACAATTATTAAATGACATTTGTCTCCTCTCCCCTATCCCTGACTCTTCCATCTGACCTCAGTCTGAGTGACACATGGGGTGGGAAGAGCAGGGGGCCTTGTGCTCTGGGCCCTCCCCGGGCTCCGCCCACGTCACATTGCTGTGCGCCCAGCTGTCCAGGCTCCTGCCCGCTCGAAGCCCTGCCACGTCACATCGCAGGGTGATCCCGGGGGCCTCACACTGGGACCCTACGACACAAGTGCAAAGGTCGGGCTTTGGTTCTGAACTCGCCTTGCTGGACACCTCCGGGAACGGGGAGCTGTGGGCAGCCGCCCTCCGAGGTGGTGTAGGAGAAGCAAAGCAAAAAGCCAAGGGCCTTTGTTCTGGTGACTGCAAGTTTGAGATGACGTAATGATAACGACTGATGTTTTAACCCGAGGTGAATATGGACGGGGTCTATTTACGTTTCCACTAGCTGAGAAGACAGCAGATGAGGGCAACATTTTTGGTTTCTTTGTGGTACTGGGGACTGAGACCAGAGCCTTTGCAATGAGCTAAATCCTAGCCCATTATTTTTATTTTTATTTTGTGACAAAATAAGTCACTAAATAGCCCGGGCTGGGCTTGAACTTTCCACCTTCCTACCTCAGCCTCACAGAGTGCTGGGATGACAGGTGTACACCACTACTCCCAGCTAGGGGGTAGTTTTTAGGGAGCACCAAAAGGAAGCTAGCTGCCCCATTCCCGAGCCTCCCTAGAACTTGGACCCGGAGCAGCAGCACAGAGCACCTGCTGGGGTCTGCCCACTTCTCCTGCTCCTGGAGGTCGGTGTGGGTGAGCAGGGGTGGCTCCCGCTGGTCACAGCCTGATGATTCTATTCGTTTCCCAACCAAACTCCTGCACTTCACTGTGCTGCAGCCAATGTAAGGGACGCTCTTTCAAACCCATTTATGGGAATTAACTGTACGCCAGTATAGTTCTGACCACTTCCCTTCAAAGATGCCTCCAACGGCCCTGTATGCTCTGGCCTCTACTTACTCTCCAGTGCCCCCTCGACACCACCAGCTCATCCACATGACCGTGGTGCAAACCTACCTCCCTTGCCATCTTGCCTGCTGCCACGGGCCCTTCCCCCTGCTGCATCCTCTGCCTCTCTCTGCCACGTCTTCTTATTTTACAGGCCTTGACTCAAGTTGTTCGTGAAGGCCTATGTGTGCTGTGGCCCCTTTGACTAGCCCAGTCTGTTTCTAGGCCTTGAGGGCTGGGGATTTAGCGCAGTGGTTCTGCTGCCTGCCTTGTTTCTAGGCCTGCACCGTGAGGCTTGTGCTGCTGTTATCATTTTATATTTCTATTTGTGATTACCCAGTGAAGATCATCTCCTGCATTACGCTGACATCACCAGAAGAAAAGGTACCCTGGTTCTGCTCACCCCCCGCATCCCCAGCACGGCGCATGTCACTCGGCCCGTGACGGGTTAAGTATTATCTGAGCAAATACATGCGAGTTATTCCTAGCCCCTGGTCTGAGGTAATAGTTCAAGCTAAGAAACTTGCCCAGTATCCAACAACTGCTAAACGCCTGCATTTGGATCCAAATCAGGCCACCACCACACTCACTGTTGTCGCATCTGAGGGTTTAAGAACCAGAAAGCCCTCATCTCTTCCACCGCCCAATCAAAAAGAAAAAAAGCTGCTAGGAAACCAAGAAGCGTACTATTGACTTTGTAGGCTTGTTTTGCTTTGTTGCCGCTTAAAAGCCATAAATGATCAGTGTGCTGCAACTGCACCTTCCCACTGTGTGGCTGGGCACGAGTTTAATTGTGGTAATTAAGGCCAGGGGAGGGCTGCCTCTGGGTGAGGCATGAAAGAATAGCTTGGAAAAGAAACACCCACCTGGGCACCACAAAGGTAACAGTGAGTTCTG